CGCTCGTTAGCTCGAGGTTTGATTTGTTTATATGTCAATATTGTATAGATATAGATATAGATATAGATATAGATATATAGTGTATAAATATATACTTTAAAATTATGAATGTTTGATTATGATTCATTCAATTAATAAATTGCCTGCATAACAAATACTTTTTTAAAATAAATAAAAACAACTTTTTACCGCTTAAATTTGTAATCAAGGGCTTTACAAAAAATAATTATGCACAAAAGTGAAAGATAGCTCAGTCATTCAGACAGCACAACGATAAAAAAATAAATAATATAATTATTAAAATATTTTGAAAGCCTCAAGCAAAAATTAAAACAAAAATATGGCTCTACATTCACATTCATAAAAATTCCATTTGCTTTTTAAAAGCTATTGTTAAGATAAATTAAGGCCTAACATAAGGCAATTAGCTACTGAAGAGATAGGGCCTGTTGTTAAGAGGCAATTTATGATTGTTCAAATTGTTTTATTTAAAACAGAAAAACTTAAATCTCTCAATAAAGCAATTTCAAATATTACTAGATATTTTTTATAATATCGATTTATTTAAAAAAGTCTCTAGGTGCCTTCCCCTATAAACTAATAAATTACATTTATTTATTTCAAAATAGATCTATTTGCTTCACTCAACGCATGTGCTGTGGAAAATATACCTTAACCTTATTTTATACAAGCTTTCAAACAAATTAAATCTATGAACAAATTTTACTGCAATGACGCAAAAGTCTCGGCAAGGTGATATAAAATTGCGCATACGCCCCGCGTGCGTCAAAGTGGGTTAGACAAAATTAGAAAAGTAAACGTAACAATAATGCGCCAAAAACTTCTAACAACGGTCAAACAAGAGACATCTGCTACCAGGCAATATATTGGCTTAGAGAATACTTGTAAGAAGAAAAACATCTAACGCCCAGGCCAGAAGAAAGCTTAGCGCGTTTGTTCATTGATTTAACAAAAATATTCAATTAGTGGAATTAATTTTGTGGCCACATATCAATTAAGCTGCAACAGCCTAAAGACCGCCCAGACTCCCCATACATTTGTCTTCATTAGGCTGGCCAAGATACAAATCAATCTGCCAAATCAAAATGTGGCTGCGCGAGAGTTCGGAGAGGTAGAGGGAGATAAATGTAAATATCGATTGGCCGGCCTGATGTAATGCCACAGATAGGCATTGGTTTCTTTGCCAACTGTGTGGCAATGCCATGGAAAGCCAGCCCAACAGAAACAACAGCAGCAACAACAACACATTAACGACAACGACAAGTGCTGATAGGCAAATCAACAGGTTCAACAGGCGCCGCTGGAAAAACTGGTAGCCAGGCGCTCAGAGACGCAATCAAAACAAAATCAAATTGAAAGCGGGTCTATAAAGAGGGATTAGGTAGGGGGTAGGGGGTAGGTGTTGGCTTTCGTATATATATATATATATATATATATATATATATATATATATCACATTGAATCGCATTGAATTGAATTTAATCAAAAAACCACCGTTAGGCAGCGATGAGCCACATTTCGTAGATCGGTATCTAAGGCTTGTCAGCTTGTCGAAGAATTTCAAAGCAATTAAAAATTGGATACGTTACCTAGTAGATACCCCAAGACATGTAAACAGTTCTCTGCGCTGACTGATGTTCAGTTTTCAGCGTCTATTTAAGCGCAAATCCTCAACAACATTCAGAACACAGCTACAAATGTTCACTCATCGATTATGGCCAGCCAGACAGCTATACCAAAACCTGAAGTGTCGTCTAGCCAGCTGGGCAGGCTGGCAGCTGCTGGGCTTAGACACCCACTGGGGGCCAAGTGCTGTTAATACTTTAATGGCACATTATTGAGGCGGGCCTCTTAGTACATCACTTTGGATGTAACCCGAAAAGAAAAGAAGTAGATTTAAAAAAAAAGGCAGCTGGCACTTCCGAGGAACACCCTCGGTTCACATTTAAAAATAAAATGCAAGTTGTGCATGTTGAATGATTCGAGTTAAGCACTCGCTGATTATCGCCTCAGGGATCATCAATTTTCGTTTGTTCTTTATTTTGGATGCTTAGCTGAACATTCAATGGGTTACATGCGGGCGCGCGTGCCAATGTCAAACAGCGTTAATGTGTGATTAGTGTTGCTTAAAAACAGTGAGGTAAATTACGTACACACGTAAGCCTAGCTAAGCTATCACCAACAACTACAATTTTTTAAGTTTCGACTTATACAAAATTTTCCAATCATTAATTTAGCTGCAAAAGCAAGCCATGAATAGAATTCTGCTCCCAGAATTGACACGGCTACGGTTTAAAACATAAATTAAGTTAATAAAACAATTTGTTTTACGGAGCTCGATCCCTACTTCAGTGACTTTTTGACATTTCAAGACTAGTAAACACTATAGAATGTTTGCATATTTATTTATTTTATTACATGTTTGATAAATATATGTATTTTGAAGGTGTAAAAAATATTTTTTGAATATATGTACATATATTTTGATTGTGATACTTGTTACGTGCAAACTGGCTGAGTCTCTGGCAGCACCCATAGATCACGTCGTCGTCTGTCTGGATCTGAAGCTGAGTGTGTGGGCGCGCGCAGTAGTCGAACAAACTGTCAGAGAGCTGTCAGAGCTGTTGCACTGGTAATTAGCATAGCACCCCACGTTTGAGGACGGACAATGCGAACTCCCGTGACATTTGTCAACAATCTGTCCAAACGAAATGCGCAACTGGAGACGGCCCGGTCATAAATTTTATGTCTGGCCACCTATTCAAATGGTCACATTAACAATGGCCTATGGGAGCAGCTAGTGATATGCGATATCAGTGGGCACAGTGGTCAATTAGTGGTGCACGATTTCAGTGGGTGCAATTCGTATTATACATAGAGTATAATATTTGTGGAAAAAAACAAAACTGTATTATTTCTTTTGTGCCATAACAAATTGTGGCCTTTACGCGGCAGCCCAAACTGGGTCATACGCTTCACAGAGAACTGTTTTATGTGGCACGAACGAGCAAATGAAGTAATCGAAACAAACTGCAAAATTGCTGGCAAAAAAAAAACAACAAGCAACAACAACAAAAAGAGAAGAAAGCCAGGGAACAACTGCAAGTACAAGTTAACAAGTTGTACGGCCCCAGGGCCCCACTTTCAATTGTCGCACAGCGGGACCTGGCACAGGACAGAACTGAGTCAAAGCTCCGAGTCTGGAGTCCGGAGTCTGTCTGTCCAAAATCGCAAGTAGTCAGCAATTTGATGCGACTAAATTGGACGTTTTTTGGATTTTTTTTAAATTGATTGTCCTCTGTCCACGTGGGTGGGCAACGTTTTCCCTTGCTGGCAGCTTGCAACTGAGTTTTGAAAGTTTGTTGACTTGTTTTTTAAATGCCCTTAAAAAATGAGTTTATACATGTTATCAACGCTTTGAAAGTCGTTATTGTGTTATATATCATTAGCTGGGGCAAGTCCCTAAATCATTTAATTCTATGCAATCTCGACTCTCAGTGCAGAGACTGATTTGACTAAAGACAATGCATGCTCTGTGTTTAGTCCCATCACTTGAATATATTATAAAGCTTTTATATTTAGAAAATTGTTACATAAAAAACATTTTATTTGCAAATATATAGCTTTGATTAGTAGAGTCAAGAAGCCAGAGATTTTTCCTGGAATTTTGATATATTGCCTGAGCTCTTATTACATATGCATACTCCTAACTTAATTTAATAGTTTTATAATCAAATATACATATAATACTATATAATTTAACGTTCATATGTGACTTCACGATCAAATATCAATTAATAAATTTACAAGACTATGGCAAAGTCTTTGGTTTCTTTGGCCGCGGAGCTTTGCAAGAGCATTTGAAGTTCGCCGATTTTCCATGACTTTTTCTTTATTCTTTCTTAGTGGGTCAGTGGTTTTGCCCGGTTTCATCAACAGATCATTATGCAATTGCCTGCACTCGCATAAAAAGCCGGCCATAAGAAAATCGAATTGTGGCGCGGTTCAAGCAGTTTATCTTCTCTTCAATTAAACGATATTTGAACTGGCAATTGGCTGGCTAGACAACCTTTCTCTCTCTCTCTCTCTCTGTGTGTGTGCTTGGGCCGTGCAAATAATGAAAAGGCGCATTTGGTGTTTGGCAAATTAGCGAGCTCGTTAAAAACCATAGCATGGCCATAGGCATTGGGCGGGTCTGTCAGTCTATTAGCCCCGCGGTTAGCCCAACGACCACCGCACAAAAAAGATGCCATTGAAAACAAACAAGTTGAGCTCGTTGTACGTAGCACGTTGCACGTTGCAGTAGTCAATTTGCCTCCTCATTCTGGTGCAAGGCGTCTTCTTAGCTCATAAAATGCCTTTGCTGCCACGGAAGCATTTGCCGTTGTCTGGCGAAAGTGTTTGATCTTAATGAACGGGTTCATATGGGGTATAGACTGCCTTCGGCTCATTAAGACTTTGAGTTAGAATTGTGCTGAAATTAGTCGGCAGGCATTTAAAAAGGTCTCACTTTTAGCCAGCTAATAAAATGTGTTAATTAATGTGCGATTTATTAATGGAATGGAATCAGCGTTAATTAAATGCGGCATTTTGGCAATGCGGAAATTTTCCATATGGAAAGGTCAAGAATTTCTGAAGGTATTGTTTCGCGAAAGACTCGAATACTTTGTAGATACAAAGAATCCAAATGCAATTTTAATGCGAAAAGTTTTATTTTTTAATGGTCTTTCGTCAATTATTCACAATTGTGAGTGGAATTTTCACGACAGGACAAACAATTATATATTTCTACATATTAATTTATAAATACCAATTTAAGGCAGATACATATATGTTATTATTCGTTATTATCAAAGCTCAACAGCTGTTTTCCTACAGACCTGTGCACTTGTTTCTTCAAAAAACAAAAAAAAAACATCACAAAGATGGCGTTGTAAATATATTTGCCCTTCTTAGCACTCCAAAAATTTTACTTTACATTAGCTTTTGTAAGTGAAAAGAAGCTAGGACAAGTTTTCGTGATATTTATTCGAAAAAGCTGAAATGGATTGTAGCTTTTTCAACAAATCGGAGCCAGGGTCCTGGCAGTCCGAGAGAGCTGCAGAGGCCAAGTTAGGCAAGCTAAAGCACAATCGTAGTGCTGCCAAGGAACCTAAATTATCACTAATGAATACGGGCATAAAGCGCAGAAAGTCGTTGGGCAAGTAGCTAAAAGCCGTAGATTCATTTAAATCAATATAAGGTCTAACATCGCCTACGCAGGAATACACCAGTTGTCCAGATTGATGGTGCCTAAGAGCGCTGTGAAGGTGCTCAAGGAATTCAAGGGCATTTCGCTCGGTGACTTTGAAATAACCAGCGGAGGCGAGGGTGGATTTAAGGCCAGCATCAACTTCAACTCTAAGATATACGTGGCCAATGGCCGTTCTAAGAAGTTGGCCAAGGAACGGGTTTGCGAGTTAGCGCTACGCGATTATTTCAAGTCTAAAATGGCTCAATCCAATGAGAATGGCTCCGATGAGGAAGAAAACGACAAAGATTTGGCCATGCTCAAGTTGGCCTCATTTGCCATACACAAGCTGTACGCCGACTGGGAGTGTCAGGATAAACCGGAGACCAAAAAGGATACGTCGAACGCCTTGCGAAAGGAACTGCCAGCCAATTGGGATAATATGCATCCAGCCAGCGTGCTGGACCTTATGCGACCGGGACTCAAGTATGAGTGCCTCGTGGTGAACAATGGACAAAACGGAATCGTGCATCGCATGATCATCACCGTCGACGATCAACAGTTTACCGCCGTCGGACGTTCCAAGAAGCTGGCACGTCGCATGGTGGCCACCAGAGTGTGCAACACTTTATTCAACACCAATTTCAAGTACTAAAATATCCCATATATCAATATAAATGATATACATATATGGAGCTCACATGCTCATGACTGATTGGTATGAATATGGGGGAACTTGCGCAAGGTTGGGAATGTTGATGAAAACGCAAATTGCGCAATGCGCTAAGCACGTGTTGCTAGTGACTAAAATTAGCACAGTTTTCGATTTAAATAGTTGTATATGCACATGTGCATTATCACTAATGTCATTATACAATTACGTAATGCAACACTGATATCGATGACTTATCGATATGCAGCCGTTAACGGTCTAACGATACAGTTAATCGTCAACTGTGCGTAGAAAAAGAATACAACTTTAATTTGTCTTCCAAGCAACTTTGTGAAAATTAATTTAAGGTGAGCTTTCAACTTTATAAGAAAATCCATCGATTTGATGTGCAAGCATTTACGCAAACATTTGTACAAATTAATAACTCAAGTTCAGGCCGTATTTAGCTTAAAGCAAATACAGACACACAAATACACACACAGAGACACACACTTATCATGAAACTAAGCTGCTGCTAGTTCAAGCACCCACAACTGCAACAGCTCGCGCTGTCCGCTTGGCGTGCTGCGGGTAACCCGTTCAGCTCAATCAGCAAACCATTCAGACTTCCTCATTGCAAGGCATATCACAAATGGCCATTGCAGGAATTCAACGTGCCAACTAATTGAAACTCATTGTTCATTTTGACGCGCATCAATTGCCCGGTGTATGGCCCCGCACATCCCCCCTAGATCCAGTTGCAGTTCCTGGCAATTGACACTTTTCCAATTGCACCTCTGGAGAAGCAAACCCGCACACACACGCACACCTTTCATATGGCTTGCGTTATGCGGCGGGCGTCAATTAGTTTAAATAAAAGCGTCTGCTACTGAGAGAGTCAATGGCCCGGCCACATACAGATAGTATAGCATACTATATTACTATAGTGGATGACTCGATGCCCGAAGCCCGGTGCCGCTGACGGTGCCAGTGCCAGACCCGATACCAGACGCACGTCTCGCACGCATGCTATTAGAATTTTGTTGTTGTGTATATACACAACGCACAGACTGCAAGAGCAGCGGCACACGCACACACCAGCAGCGACAACATTGTGTGTGTCATCACCTCAATTGGGTACACTTCCTACTTGTAAGATACAAATGTATCTGCAAGATACAACATCGCCAAAGGCAAGCCATTAGGCAAACGCTTGAAACTTTTGTCGATTGCGCGACTTTTCACTTTTCCAACGGAAGTCATTTAGCCGCTTCAGTTAATTTTAAGCCCCCCTCCCCAGGATCTGTATACCCCTTGCCCGTTAACGACAACCCCCTCGCAATACCCGGCTCAGCACGTTGCTTTTTATCAGCGCAAATTGCACGCACTTAACCCGCTTCCAGTAGCGTATGTGGAGCGGGTTTTCCATCCTCAACCAAATGCCGCCTGCCTCGGGCCTCGAACGATGTTTATTGCCAGCGGCATGTGGTGCGACGCATATTAAGAGCCGCCCGTGTCCTACGCCTCATGCATGACAAATACGCAAACCTCAAACATCAGAAAACAACAAAAATAAACACACTAAAAAACAAAGGTGCTCTAATCGGGAGTGACCAACTAAAAGTATACCCTGAATTTTGTTTGTGCACCGCCGTCTTCGCGAAAAGACCTCACATAATGGGACTTCGGATTTTTTTGTCCGATCCTAATGATATTTTCAGATCATCTATATTCCACCCAAAAGTGTGAATACCCCAAAGCCCCGAATACTCCTTAAATGGGGTTTATCAACTCACATCGCCGATCTGAGAGCAAATGTATTAATATAAGTATATATAAAGCAGTCGGGATAGCCCCCCGCTGCCTGTTACATAAATTTGGCCAAAACCATTATACCTCTTCTATCAATTTTCAATGGGTTTAAGAGTTGTAGAGAGTGTATTTTTTCGCGCAGCAGAGATTAACGCGCCAATTTGTCGATTGCCGTAAACTTGAGCTATTAAGTGCGAACATATCTATGCCTAAGTTGCACTTGGCAAGAGGCGTTTTGGATGCCTAGATGGGTATACGAGAGAGCTGCTGCTGCTGCTCCCTCAGTGGTTGGCCACCACCCAGGCTCCGGCTTTCATTTTAAAACCGGATTCATAGTACGCGCTGTAATTGAAATTTGTTATTTTGTGCGCGTGAGCGGCTTGCAACTTGTGTTGTTGTTGTCGTAAAACGGTCATTAATACATCATTTACAAGCCGGCGAATTGTCGCTAATAAATTGTTTGGACTTGCTAGAAATACGAGAAATATGTATGCAACTATTTTCAATAGGCGGCCGCCACGCAGAAGCCCTCCCTGCCACTGCGTGTGGGTTACGCACTTGGGGAAATGTCTAGGAAAATGTCTAGACATTAGGCATTACAGAAGACAAGGATGAGATAAAAGATAAGTTAAAAACTACTTCAAGATATTTTAAATTTATATTTTTAGCTGCGATCCCAAAGCACCTGTTCTCATATCCGATAAGATTTGGCGGAAGAGAATTCACTTTATTTGAAGAGCCACAAAGAATGTGGAGACCTAAAAGATTTTGTAAGTTAAGTGAAAAAAATATTATAAATGAAGCGAAATGGAATCCAGAAAAGCAAGTGAAATTGTAAATATATACAAAACCTGAAGATTTTTTAAACTATTTGAGGAAATTCTGTTGATGAAAACATGCGATAATTAGTATTCAATTTAACTGAAATCCTCTTACCCAATAAGCTGCTGGAACGTAAAGCTTTACTTATTCCCGGAAGATCTGTGCAAGTTGAGTCTCACAATTGCTCACGACCCACCCAAACACAAACCACAGAGTCGTATATCACTGCTCCCTACACCTTTTTAACGTCTTTCCAAACAGTACACCGAAAGCAAACGCTTTCTATGCACACACACACATGCACACACAGCATTGAGATACTTACACACACCATTTACTTTATTTTTCTCTCAGTTTTCGTTTCGTTTCAATTTGGTTCGCATACCAACGCGATAATTTTTTTTACCATACGATTGAGTTTAGTACCCACATACGTACACCCCATACCAGCACGTTCATGGTCATACGAGTCGTAAATCTTCAGTGTCCGAGACACGCGTTCCAAAAAAAAGAAATGAAAAAAGAAAACCCGGGACTCGGAAAAAAATTTGGGTTAGCCAGAGCAAGTTGGGGGCTGAAATTCGAGCATGAAATCGGCCAACATCAGAGAGCAACAAGTAGTTAAACAGCCAAAACATGACCACCTACAAGTCTGTAATGCATTACACCGAACTGGATCTATTTATTAAGCCAATTTGCAATTGAGCCAGCTAAAAATTGAACACGTTTTATTTCGTTTTTCTTTTTCGTCAATAATCGATAGTCCGACTGCAACGTGTTTTGAAACTCGTGCAAATTATGTGATTAATTTGCATTTCGATTGGTTCGGAGAGGCCGTCACTAAAATGCCAAAATGAATTACAAAATGCAAATGTTTCCACTAATGCGCTCTATCGATAAGAAATCGAAAAAATCTACACGGCTTTTTAGCATGCGACTAATTTATGACTCATTGCCCAATACCTTAAGCTGAAGCTAGAAATTTCATTTCATGCACTGGCGCCTGGTATTTCCCCATATATATATTCATATATATGTATGCCTACGTACCTGCCCTATCATAAATATCATATCAGGGGGCTGAGCAGTGCAATCACATTATCGTTCATGTTGCCACACATACACTACATTGTATACCGAAACTGTGTCAGCCGATCGTATGTGGGTCTATCAAGTAGTGCGCGGGATTATAAATTAATTGCACTCTAATTGGCAATCGCGTGCGTTATCATAAAACGAAAAAGCAAAAACAAAAGTAAAGACGAGCTCTTGATACTCTCTCTGCTCTGTACAACGAACTTTGTATGCCATTTAGATAAGGTTTGGCCGTTGGTTATAAGATCACATTGGTATTTTCCATGAGCAATATCAAAAATTCACGATTTTGAGAATTTGGTAAGCAATGATTTGAAAACAAAGTCAGCTGTTTTCAATTTAAGAGTGTGACCACATTTTGCAAATCAAAATGCCAAAAATAGTTACCTATCGACTTATCGATAACATAGCATTTGTTTAAGGCTTGACGGAAGTTTATTTCTCAAAAATTGAGCTGAATAAATTTAATTAATTTAATTTGCCATTTATTATTAAATTAAATTGGACAAATATTATTTATTATTTTTATTATTACTTATTATATATTATTGTGTCAGGCTTAAAAGAGTACTTTGGGTATAGAAATAACTCCGGGCATGCTCCTAGATTAACTCTTATTTAAGACAGTTGATCAATGGTTTAAGTAGTCTGTGTAGGATTAAAATATATTTATGGATGCGTATGGCCATATCATTGATAGGAATATCACCTGCTCCAGAAATTCTAGCTATCGTATATGCCCTAGAAATTCGTTCTAATTAAATAATATTTTCTTTTGCTTTATGAAAGTCTCGGAAAGAACAGCTGTGCTCATTCAGCTTATAAACATCTTTAAAAATAATCTTCAACAATATAATACAGGCTCGTTTTGCTATCTAGATCTCTTGAGACGGTAGCAAAGTGCACTCTGATTACAAATTACGCATACGTCGCATGAGGCAATCAGCCTTCATTTCAACTTACAGTCAACAATTTTTATTTAGCGTGTTGTTAAACACTTTTTATGTTTAAACAATAAATTTTCGATATCTGCGGCTGTGACTTGTTGTTGTTGCTGTTCGGTTTTCTTGTAGTTTTTGGTTTCTGTGTCAATGTTTTTGCCACTGGTCAGCGGTCAATATGTGAGTGGCTGCTGCGGGCTTTTTGGGACTGGGGTGAAAATGAATTGCTCGTAAAAAGCTTGTAAAACAACGGCAACAACAACAACGACAACAACAAGAGCAAAGGCAGCAGCCAGCAGCCAGCTGCTTGGCAACAAACTGCGTGCAAAATATCATTAATCATGATAATTTATATAGGCTGGCCAGCTTCATAAATATTACGAACCAACCTGGTAGGCTTACAAATTTTTAACGAACTTTACGCATAATTTAACATTCTTGTCAATGTCTCTTCGAAGTTTTGGCGTTTTTAAGGCAACCCCTTGACGATAAAATCAAGCCAAGCAGCCACCAAATTGTGGGTGATTGAATAAGTTGGCTTTTAGCAATTGCTTTAATGGCCTAGACCTTTTACATAATCGAATTGCCGAGCACTTGAATAATTTTCAACCAGTACAGTTCATTGCCATCTGTACTAAAAATAGCAGCCGGAAAACTTTTGCAGGCAAAACAGAAGAGCGCCAACGCCAACGCCAACTATAAATCCATGTGACATATTGCGTTGCCCGCTTCAGTTTCAGCCATATACCCTATATATATATATATATATGTATGTACATAATCTTATCTAAAACAAAACACTTTCATGCTGCTCGTACGCCGCATAAATCACGCAAAAGATACACACACCGTGCGTTCTGATGAGCCGACTCGCTGACAATAGCACATCAAGTGGTGCAGCATCAGCACCTCCCACCCACACGCGTAAACTGACTGTGGCAGCCGGCTCGTGAGACTATCCGAAAATGTTCTAATGTTAACATTTTTTTCGGTTTCGAGCATATTTCTTTAGAGATTTTTCACAATGTGTCTGGATACATAAATATATCTGTGTATCTTGTGACGTAGCTACCTCAAGTTAATTGTAAAAATGTAATTTATTATTTTATGTGCTGAAAGTGATATAATAGCTGACTAAACTGTCTATCAAAAGTTTTGACTTAAGCACTCTTTTAATTTATGTATTTATTTAATTAAAATTCTGTGTCGTTTTTGATATGAAAGATATCTATTGGCATTTGTAGGGCAATTTAACGGCTGTATATACAAGTGTATAAAGATACACACATATCTATCTTATGACGTAGCAGCACGTAAAGCTTATTAGAGTATAATTCACAATGAACATGCTATAACAAAGCTACCAGATTTCATGTTAACCCATTTCTAAAGAAATTTAGGCTGCAGACCAAGTGTTTCTATGCAACTAGTAAATATTCTGATGATGTAGCTGATCAAAAAAAGAGAAGTTGTAAATATTTGTTGATTGCTTACTGAGTGGAAAATTATGTAAAAGCTAGCTAAATTACCTCCAAAGCTTTTCATTTTGAACAGTTTGAATATTTTCATAACACATGTAGGCCCTGGATACACATGTATCTAGATATATATAGTTGGTGACGTAAGAGCTCATATAATTAAATAATTTGTTTATGTGCTGAACTATCTACAAGGAAAAGGTATTTTGAGCAGTTGTCTAGATACATCTAGATATGTATCTTTTGATTCTCTTGAGCTCTGGCCCATTGTAAAAATTAATTTATTGTATTATGTGCTGAAAATTATATAATAGCTGGCCCTTGGACATGCTACGTTCCGCTCTTCTGAATCTGATTGTGTTGTGTGTTGAAATTCGCTCTGAATAGGCTCTTAACCAAATGATTACAATATTAATCATGATAATGCTACCGGGCGGGGGATTTACACAATTTGTGCAATTTGTCTGCGCCGGAATGTGTAGCTGGTTGAAGTCCAGCTGGCTTGGAAAGGTCTTAAATAGCTATAACTTATATGCTTTATGTGAACATTCCATTGATGAGTTTAAAAAAAAAAAAAGAACAAATAAAATAGAAGAAAATAAATTAAATCATAATCGAATGGGAACAAAGCAAACTGTTGTTGCTCACACTTTTGGACATTTATGTAGCTGAAAGCACAGTCTTTGATGTGCCTAAAATGCAACAAAATCTGGTGAATAAAGCGGCATATAGTATTTACGAAAAGCAATTAACACGCGGGCCACAAGTCGAGTGACAGTGAAAGTAACGCAAGCTACGCAGCTCAAAAATCGATGCAACAACTTCATCAACTCGCTGAAGACGTGCCGTAAATTAAGTTATCAAAAAAATCTGTCGGAAGCTTTTAGCATCTACCCAAATGAAAACAAGCGAGACTCGAGACCCGAGACACGGCGTCAGCTTTTAGCCAGAGCCACATCAGTTAACTTCACACCTTGCACCATGCACCACGTACTAAATCAGTCGCATAATTGCCCACAGAGACTTGGTGGAAGAAAAATAAAAAACCGCCAGGTACTGGTACACTCATATTTCATTATGAAAATATGCACGCCCCATCAGCAGCAAAACCCAAAGGGTTTGAGGTCAGCTACGAGGATCCGGTCTGCGCATTCTGTGGCACTCACTCACCGTTAGCTGCTCGAGCAAATTGCAACTTGAGTTGGTGGTTTATTTTTTTTTATTTTTTTAAAGGTCAACTGCTTTGCTGAACTCTAGAGGAAAATGCGTGGAAATTATAAGCAATTTTCTTGAATTTAGACAGCTTCAATTTGCGCAAGACTTTCCAAAAATGTGTGTCCCTCTTTTTCCTCTTTGTGACAGTCAAGATTAATCAAGAGCGCGTCTTATCAACGAAAAACGATTATAATGGCTAATAAACTCGCTCGACAGAAATTGAGAGCACGTCAAGTGCGTGATTTTTGTTTGAAAGCTCATGAAAAACTCACCAACTCCATGCAATAAAGAAAACGCACACAAGCATAAAAACATTTTGGGAAAGTGGTTGAGTGTTAAATATTGAGCAATTGCTATAAAAATCTTTTCCCAAACACCTTATAAAAGCGCCTTTTAACCAAAAAGAAAAAGCATTGAATACACTTTTCGGGCTAAATCTTATCGCAGCCGGGAAACATTATCGGATGAGGCAGGCGCATGAAATCAAATTAATACCCGAGCTGCAGGCAGCAGCAACAACAACATAAATTTGGTATCACTACAACAACAAAAACAACAACAACAGCAATCATGTATCTGCACTATCTAAGCGGCATCGCGACGCTGATGTCTCAATAGCACGATGCCTGCGCGCGATTAAAAACGCGACTAAAACCGGCCGCTTGTACAACAAGTTTTGGCTGCCGCTTTTGTTATCAGCCTTGCAAATTGCCGCAGCTAAAAGCGAGAAAAAAATTAACAAACTGAATAAAAATGAAGCTGTAAATTAATTTGGCCAACAAGTTGCAATAGACTGCTTAAGATGGGCTGACTCATGAGCAGCGGCAGCTAATCAGGTCGCTCAGTACATTAAAGCAAGATTTATGCCAGCAATTCAGCCTTAACACACACACGCACACACACGTACAACATAAATTTATATGGCAAATAATACAATAGATGCCTCTCTCCTGGGCGCCCTAAACAGCAGCAGATTGCCAAATCAAGTGTCTGACTTAATGATGCTCAACATAAACAGCTACGCTACAAATATTTTTCTTATATTTTTTGTTGTACATTTTTCAACGCGCCTTTTCTTCATATGTATTTTCTTGGCCAACCAAACACGTCCCGACCCACAGGCAGCTTTTTTTGCGTTAAAACAAACACAAAACACAACATCATCATCGTTTTTTTATGAGAACTTTCAACTTGTGGGCGCTTCATGAGTGGGCGTGTGCCAAGTGATCTATATATACACAAGCACACACACACACACACAGATATATACTACATATTGCTCTGCTGATATTTCAATATTATGTATGTTGTATGGACATTAGTTTATTTGCTTGTTTATGTTGATGAAAATGATAGAAAAACTAAACATTTTTGCGGCAAGTTTGGTGGAAGGGAACTTAAACAATGGGGCGTCAACTTTGAAGTTCGGTTGGACAGCTTCTTACACATAAGGTCAAAGTTACAATCTTGAACATAAAAACCAAATTTAGCTCTGGGGACTTACCTAAATTTAAACAATTTTATATAGCTATTACTAATTTTTTGGAAATTTCAGAAATTAAAAAAAAAATTTAGGTTTAAAGTAGTTCAGTGGGAAATTTGAATAAAAAATTATTTAAAATTAATTTTTATAAATGAAATAAAAAACCTCATTAGCTTGTACGTTTCTGCAGATTGAAAGACTAATTTATCCATAATATAGAAGAATATAAGTAAAAGAATAAAGTAAGATGATTTATTTATAGAAGTTCTACACTAATTCTATAATTCTCTTATTATTTGTTTAAATAAAAGTAGAAGATATATTTTCGTTTAAATTGTCATTTTTCAGAGCCATTAATTTGAGATACTTATTTATTATATACTCGTATTATTTTAAGGTAATGTACAATTTTATTTTTAGAAAATGATACTTCAAGTACCTTCAATTAAAATATCTTTACGCCTTTCATGAAAACTTCAAAATTCTGCCCATTGTTAAGCTTTTGCCACCTTTCCAATCGCAGTTCAGCAAGGGAGAGCTCTATCTTAGAAATACCCGATATAATAATTCGGATATTAGTGGTAAGAAAATGGATACTCACTGTATTCACTCTGCTCGTTCTGTGTTCCATTTACAGTACCATCTGGCAGCAGCTGTAGTATACGATTCTTGATATATAACTGGATTTTGCGAGATACACCCGCCATATGGGAGATGGTGGAGCGTTCGTTGCGATCCAAATTGCTGGGATTATTGTTGTTGATGTTGCTGTTGGGATTGTTGTTACTGCTACTATTTATGTGTAGATTATTTCTAGAGTTATTCAGTCTTTTCGATTTCGAACCAATGAAATTGCTGTTGCCGGCAACAGCAGCATCAGCAGCCGAAGCAGCAGCAACAGGCGATTGTTGCTGCTGTCTGTTATGCGGTTGCTGATGATGCATATGCAGATGCTGATGTCGTATGCTGCGCTCTGTGCGTGAGAGTATTGCCAAATGTGCACGTGGCGCCGATGAAAATACAAAACCCAAAGGATCCACATCAGCAACTGTTGCTGCTGTTGTGCTGCTGCTGCTGGGTGTTGCTGCTGTGCTGCTGCTGCTGGGTGCTGCGGTAATTGAGTTTATGGCAGTTGATGGATTTGTAATGTTTAACGTTCGCATATTAAATTCAGCACTAATACTTTGATTTTGATCTAAACTATATTCACTCTTCAGCACTACGAGACGACTATTACGACTATGATCACTTTGTATAGAACTATTACTACTATATTTATTACGGCTATTGCTGTTGCTGTTGCTGTTGCTGTTAGTGTTGTTGTTGCTAATGATATTATTTACGTTTTCTTGCGTATTGTTTGTGGCTTGTTGTTGGTTCGATATCGCCGTTTGCGCTGGCAATGCATACACTAGACCCGACCAGGCTATGATAAACGAAAGGAGGGCGCCCAGCATCGCCAGGGCCCTCCAATCCAAACGCAGGTTTCTTCGCATGAAAGATTACAACTGCAGTTTCACAAGAGTTTTTAGTTGTTGTTGCTGATGATTTTTTTTCAGTTTTTCAAGTACTTGTTGTTGTTTTGAAAATTGTTGCGACTGTTGCTGTTGGGCACTGCCCCCTCAGTTTGTCAGTTGTTGCTGGGCGTGCGGCACGCCCTTAAATATCGTTGAAACATATGAACGCCCCGTTTCAATAACATAAAAAAAATATATATGTATATGTATATATATATCCCTTTACTTTCGTTTCGTTGTGTGTTTTTGTTTTGATTTTCTTGGTTTTATTTGTATTCGTTTTCTTTTAGAGTTCTCTGTTCCAGTTAAAATAAATTCGCCGCTTGCTGGCAGGAAATTTAGGTTATCATATCGTAGACTTGTTTAACACTTTTCAATTTCATGGCTTGCCCTTCCTGCTGTTGCTGTTGATGTTGATGTTGCGGATCTTCATCTTCGTCTTCCCCGCTGATAATGCATTTTATCAACTCCACTGACTTCCTAGTCATGTCAGAGCAGTCAACAGTGGGGTCTTTCAAGTCTGAAACTCGAACAACTCAACGAATTTCTTGTTGTTGTACGTAACGAAGTTGCTGTGTGCTTAGGTTTGTGGTTGCAACGCCAACATATTGCAGTTTTCAAACTGTAACGAGAGAAGAGCAGAGCAAAGGTTATTGAAAGCAAAAGTGTTTAAATAAGTTGTGAATTATAAACGAATTGCAGCTCTGAAGAAATGTATTGCGTGAAGTTTATTGATGGATGTTTAATAATGCATGAATGTTTTTCATTGATTTCTGTAACTTTTTTCTATTCTCTTACCTTTATCTTCCTTTTCTCATTTATTTATCTTCCATCTATCTGCCTTCTTTATTTTTGGACTCTTCATTTTATCTCCATTCCACCTGTCTTGCAGCTATCTATCTTCGATTATCTGCCTAATATATACTTTCTTTTAAATTCTATCTTTCTTCCTTATATCTTTCATCTGCCGCTTTTATCTTTCGTCTGTCTTATATCTATCTTTGACCTGTTCTCCATATATCTTCCTTTTAACTTCAAGTTTTAAACTACCTATTATTTATATTCAAAGTATCCTCAATTTTTCTGCTATCTAACGCCCTTATCGACATCTATATTTCATATTTCTCACACATCTATATTCTATATTTCACCTGTGTCTACACTATCTTCTATCCATATTTTATCTTTATATTATGTCTTTCTATATATGTATTTTCTTTTATCTCTTTCTCAGTCGTTTTCTTGTAGTATCGACTAGAATCTCCAATTATATTTAACATCTATATTACAAGGTTGACTATCAAAAGATATTATCATCAGTTAGAGCACCTGCTACTGCAATTTGTAGCCCCAACCGTCATGTGACATTTTTAAAGTATTTCGAAGAGCGCTTAACATATAAAAGTTATTGCATATTTGAATTGGCTTTGAAAATTCCAACGCCAACATTTAAGATTAGCCGAATTGTATATAAATTCTTGAATCTAAGCGCTTTTATGCGTAATTTTGACATTTAATTAGTGATGTGGCTATATTAAGCAGACGCCTGACGATGGCACCGCAAAGTGGCACAGTTTATTTTTAGGCAGCGACTATCAGTGCGTGCTCGACGAGCAGACGTAGCCGGCGATACACCACAAAAAGATACAATTGTATCTATGGGCGCGTCAAGTGGTCAGCGGGTTACATAAATACCGCCCCAAAAGGGAGACGCTGCTCGCTCGGGCAGTTATGCAAAAAACTCGGTGAAAACACATCGAAACATCGAAAATGACTTTCCCCCACCGAACGCACAAATTGGCCAACTAAGCGAAAGAAAAAGTAAAAAAAAAAAAAACAGATTGGAAAACAACTCGCAAAATGAAGCCAAGCAAGGGAAAAACTCAAGAGTCGCAGCGCGACTGGCAAATTGCTTAAAAATAAATGTGGCAACAAAAACAATTCGCGTATAAAACTGTGTCGAATTTGAAAATAATCACACACTAACTGCAGCAGCGACAAGTGTATCTATGTGATACACGTTAAGGAAGTGCCGCAGGGCATGCAACGGGGCAGCTGAGTGACGTTGTCGTTGCACTTAGACGTTGCTGCCGACTTTTTGGCACGTGTTCAGATGCCTACGCAGCAGCAGCAGCAGCGCCAGCAGCAGCGGCAACAGTTGCTGCTGCAAACAGTAGCAGGATTTTTTATGCAACATTTAAGTGCACCCCGTTTTAATTACTATAAACAACAACAATTCAATTGCCGCCAACTCGACTAAACGAATATAAATAACAGACAACTCATAATGTTGCACGTTGAACGCTCGTCCGTCTGCCACGTCTGTCTGTGGGCCAAATTTCAGGCATCAAAATGTTAATTGCTTTCTGCTGCGTCAACGTCGCAGCACTGCAGATAATCAGCACACACATACGCACACACACTTATGCAATTTCCAAAGGCATCGCAATTCAAATTTGTCGTCGTTGCCACGCGCCCGCGTTTTAAAACGCACATAAAACGCCAACAGTTATGACCGCTCCAAAGTCGTCCCAAAAACAAAACGGCATTCGCATGCCAAAGACGTTACACACACACACGCACACTCAGACACGCACACGCATGTTAAATCCAGGGCCAGCAAGCGAGTTCTGATGCCAACCAGTTGGGTCATAAAATGCGGCTACAATTTATAGCCAATATATTCTTATGTGTTTCTATAAGAACTGAATCGAATATTCTATAAGCCGATCCTTGGTGCGCACTTTCACTAACATTTGTATATTATGTTAAGCAGCTGTAAGTAACTGGCACGCTGTTAGCAGTCTGGGTGAACTCTGTTAACAGGCGTGAAATTGATTAGGGCTCACATATGAAAATTTCTGTATGTTCGCAGCCAGTTTATTGACAACAAACAAAACAAGAAGAAATTTGTGAACTATTTTAGTTTCTTAAAATTTGTATGTTATGTTAAGCAGATGCTGTTTTAACATAAATATCACTTTTCTTTAACAGAACAGCCTAAAAATTTAAAAACCGTGAAAACAAAATAATAAGAAAATAAGTTTAAGATGTAGATAATTGAAAAAAAATAACTGGACACCTTTCACTCAACAATCTAGAATTTTTTGTGTAAATTTAACAACTGAGTATCACACCAAGCCAAAAATGCGGAGTGCTGTCTTTGCTGATTTTATTGGCATGCTCGAGCTTCGAGCTTGTTAATAAAAATAACCTTATGAGCATTTAAAATATGCATAACCCTTTGGCAGCTCGGCTTGACTTTTTTGTTAATGCCTTTCACCCAAAACAGCTTCCAAATTGAATGCCCAGTCGACCCAGCAGGCCCAATATGTGTTCCAAGCGACGCCGCAAGTTTCGTTCTTGTTGTTTTTATTGTTATTGTTGTAGTTGTTGTTGTTGTTGTTGTTGTGCCGCTAGTTGGTAGAATTTATGTTAAATATTCTGTAAGGGCATCAAAAGGCCGCAAGCCGCACAGCGAACCACAGGAACTGCAACAACAATAAAGGTACAGCATAAAAATAATAAATACAAAAAAGCCTCAGGAAAACTATTTAGGGACAAGCGACACATGTGCCAAGTTATAAAAAAAATAACAAGAAAATACTATAACCAAAAATAGCCAAAAAAAAAAAAGGAAAAACAAAATGTGGATTGTGTATAAAATAACACCTAGGTGTCGGCTACAACAGACAAATGAAATGTATCTTTTAATGATCCGTGCTATGTTTCAGGCACAACGTCTGTCATTCATAAGATCATAAGCCCGGGGGCGCATAATCAACAAATTATAAAGAGCATAAAAAATAATGTGCCATATAAGCATATTATACGATGGCCGGACCATATCATCTGATATCGCTGCCAAGGAGCTGCCAACTTGTGTGGCAATTTAATAACAGTTATTGTTGGCCCAGCAAATTGCCGTCTTTTCTTGGAGTGGTCAGTCCGCCCCGTTGCCCAACTGAGAAAGCGAAAGTTTTTATTTATTATTTTAGTTTTGAGTTTTGATAAGCAAGAAAACAAATCTTATCGTATTTATTGTGAACCTCGCTTCCAGCCCCCATAGTTAATGGTATCCAGAAAAAGACTGACACACCCCATTGGCAGGAAATTCTGAGCGCAACTTTTGCGACAGCTTTAATTAAATTAATGTTCATATAAAGCTAATTTAAGGTAGAGGCGGCAAAAAATAAAAAAACAATAATAATTTGAATAACAAAAAAATGAGTTGCCAGTTCAAAAGACGGACAAACAAAATTTTGTAAAGAGAGAAAATTGTGGCGGCACCTTTTTTAATTTTACGAGTCACCAAAAAAAAACGCCTATTCAAATAGTTTGTAGGCATTCAGGCAATTACAATAAGCTTAACTTTTCAATTGTGTGAGAAATACAAATGTATATCAGATATCCCTAGAATTATTCAATCGACTTTTATCAGAATTTGGCTTGATTTTTAGCTAGACTTCGCTCACTGTGCGGCACATCGTTTAATAAATTAGGCAAATTCATCTTGTCGCTTGCTTGACGACAAGTCGCAGCAGTCGAAAATACAGAAAAAAACATATGCGCACACCCATAACAGGTTGAAAGTATACCCTGGAGATAATTTCAAATTAAAAAATGTAATCCATTTTTATTCAATTATTTCCTCAGACCAGCATTTATAGATAATGCAATACAATTCTAAATAGGCAAAACCGAATACAAAATAAAATTTCCAACTCAAAAACAAATTTTAGAAATGGGCACATAAAATAACTTGCTGTTTTGGGAATTAAGTTGGCATTGGCTGACTTTTTTGTAAAACAAAAAAATACCCCAAACTACAATCAAAGTTCTGGTATGATTAAAGAGTCTAACTTCTGTTATAAAATACGCAAGCGAAAAAAAAACATGTAGAAACAAATTAAAAACCCATCTCTCTATATTACAGAGTAAGCTCTAAAGTTTTATATTTGCTTATTAAAGCTCTCCCACACACTGCCTAGACTGCTTTATATTACAGGGTATTTAGAGATCTTGAAGTTGCTTACTGAAACTCGGCCAGCTGACTTTCTGCCATACACTGCCTAGACCTAGTCATTGAACTGTGCGTCTGCGAGCGCCAAAAGCGATTATCAGCCGTTTTTTAGCAGCGCCAAAAAAATGTATGCGTCTCAAATGGATTTGACATTTGCTTTGTTTAGTTTCGCCGTTTTTTTTTTTCTTAATAGGGTTTTCGCTGACAGATGGCTCCCGAGGTTGGGAAAGTATCGCCACGGATCGCTGAGGCAAACTGGTCGCCAGTAAATCTGATCAAACTGCGCAACTTAATTAGTTCATGTCAGACGCATGGCTGCCCCTGCCCCTGCCAATGGCCCTGTCCACCCGATCCGCGACTCACGCTTGTGAGTTGAGCTTGGGCAACAACACTCGCCATAAGGCAGGGGGGCTCGGTCTTAAACATTTATCACCTAAGCAACATTTGAAATTTAAATGCGATTGTTTCTGTTTTCAATGTGTTTTTTGTGAATGCAAATTTTTACATGCTTATTTTTTTGTACTGCTAAGTCGGAAATTGTGATATTAATTTAATATAACGGCCTAGTATATATATATTGTAGTCTATTAATATAAATATGCATAGTTATTTGCATTAAATAAATACGTAAAGCCTGTTTGCTTTAAAATTTAAAAGCTGAGCTTTTGCTTTTGTTTTTATTATTATAATTATATTTGTTTGATTTGTTGTTCAAATGCGTTTTTGTTTTTTGTTTTTATCTTGTTTTCATGCCATTTGTTGTCTTCAATTAACTTTGTATTAACTTATTTTTTAAGACATTTTCTAATGCGTGTCAGCGAAAATATCAAGTTTAGCCAAATGCTAGTGCTATAAAAGGCCATATAACCAATATGTTGTGTTTATATTTAGATAGAAAAATACATTTTATTGTTTTCTGTTGTTGATAACAAACGTTAAAAAAGAAATCACACACAAAACAAACCCATAAAAAAATTTAAATAATTCACCTAAGGACTGAATTTTAAGACATTTGTAAATATTGAGTTCAAAACAACTTTTATGACAAAAAAAATTAGAAACTCAACCTTTAAAAAGTTATACAAAGTTTTCAATATGCAAAAAAAAAAAAAACGAGAAAGAAAGGCAATCTTCGGCACGCCGAAGATCTAATACCCTTGTAGACCCAACCTTTTCATAATGCTTATAGTGCTTTGCCCGTATCTAAGAAGCACAGGGAAAGTAGTTAATGCCGAGTTTGGTCAAGATATCTTGATAAACAAAATGTTTTTTCATACAAAAACTTAATTTTCGACCGATCGTTCCTATGGCAGCTATATGATATAGTGGTCCGATCTTAATAGGATTTTGCATATATATGAGGACCTTAGTAAAACTAATAATTGCCGAGTTTGGTCAAGATATCTTGATAAACAAAATGTATTTTCATACAAAAACTTAATTTTCGACCGATCGTTCCTATTGCAGCTATATGATATAGTGGTCCGATCTAAATAGGATTTTGCATATATATGAGGAGTAAAGTAAAACTAATAAATGCCGAGTTTGGTCAAGATATCTTGATAAACAAAATGTATTTTCATAAAAAAACTTTATTTTCGACCGATCGTTCCTATTGCAGCTATATGATATAGTGGTCCGATCTTAATAGGATTTTGCATATATATGAGGAGTAAAGTAAAAATAATAAATGCCGAGTTTGGTCTAGATATCTTGATAAACAATATGTTTTTTCATACAAAAACTTAATTTTCGACCGATGGTTCCTATGGCAGCTATATGATATAGTGGTCCGATCCAACTGGTTTTCACATATGTGCTGCGTGCAACAGAAAGACGGACTTCTGCAAAATTTTATTAAGATAGCTATAAAACTGAGGGACTAGTTCGCATTGAAACAGACAGACGGACAGACGGGCATGGCTCTATCGACTCGGCTGTTGATGCTGATCAAGAATATATATACTTAATGGGGTCGGAGATGTCTCCTTGCGTTACACATTTCACGACAAAATTATAATACCCTCTGCAAGGGTATAAAAACACAAAAAGAAGAAGACCAGTTTTGAAACATAAAATTTATTATAATAAGAAATTTACCAAAATTAAACATTATAGCCAATTAAATTAAATTAAAAATATTTTTTTTATTCCCAATTATTTATAGTGTTAATTCCTTTTCCATGGATGATGTATTCTAAACGTAAATTGTGGTATGTATAATATAATAAATTATTTAATTTTATTTATTGAATGCTCCTCCATTTCAAAACTCCCTTGCGATCCCAAAAATTCCACACTAGATCTATCCTTTCAATGCCACCTCCACTCACCACAATTTCAATTTTGGTAATACAGCTTGGCCAAAACACAGCTAACCGCAAAACCCACTTACATTATGCTTTATGTGGAAATTATACAGTTTTCTTGCAATTCTCTTCATTATTGTGGTTACATATTTTTATTTTATTTTTTACTCCATCACTTGGCTGCATGGGTAACTTTTTTTTCGTATTTAGACTAGTATGCGAGGCAATAAAAATAAATTGCCCCAAACAAAACTCGCCGAACAAACAAACAAAGTCGTGTTAATGGCGTGTTGTAAGAATTTTTTCGGGCCATAATTTATTTAAAACCATATCATTTTAGCCAATTCAATGCCAAAGCAGGGTATAATGTGAGTTACTGTACCCTGTAGTTAAATTTAAGGTATATATGTAATGTTGTATTTAAGAGTTAATTTGTTTTAGACAATACTTTTCATTATTTTCTAAAAATTAAATCAATTATTAGAGAAGTTCTAAGAGTAATAATTATAATTGATTACAGAGTATCTGCAAGTCGCGCACTCTCAACGTAGACGCTCCTGTCATAGGCTGATTATCTCGATGAAAGTGAAAACATTTTCAACAAAAATATAATAAATATTTCAAGTTAAATTATAATAGTTTATGCATTGCATATTTACTTAGCTTGTGACTTTCGGTTTTGTCTCTTAGTCACACAAATCACAAGATTGAATGAGAAATATATAGTTCACATGTAGATATTTGCGGCAGCATTTGGTGACAGCCTATAGATAAATGTCCGTCTATTTGAATGCAAACAAAAAGATATTAAGATGCAGCCAAAGTATTGATATACATATACATATATATAAATGTATATATATATATATATATAAACCAAATGCATGTGTATTTAAGGAGTTCTGTTTCTGTTCACTCTCACGGCAATTGCCGAATGCGTTGTCATTGTGGGCCATATGAAAAAAAACACTCACGTGTTTACAAAACAATTAATTTTCTTTGGAAAAACAAGAAAAGCAGCAAACTATCGTAAGGTCGTCTAGAGGGGGGGGGGGGGGGGGGGGGGGGGGGTTAAACGAAAAGAAGAAAATAAAATGAAAAAGATACCGAAACATAACTCAAACAAAAGGCAACGGCATAAATGCACTAATCGTTGTGCACTTAATTTGTATAGAAACAAATACAATAACACGAACAACCAGAAGAGCTGCAGATACTTGAGCGCTCGCCGTTCGTTCGATACTTGCCCAGCAATACGAGTATTTAGAAAACATCGGAAACACAGAAGAACCCTGAAGTTGGAAAAAGATGAAGAAAAAAGGAAAAAGTGCAGCGTGCTTCTGTGTAATCGATTTGAACCGGAAGCAATTGGGCCGACGCGTCACTGCTGCGACTGCTGCCACTGCAATCCTCTCGAGAAATTCAACTATTTCAAATATTTAGTGCACGAGACAAGCGAAGGCAAAGCCACAGGCACAGTCACAGCCATAGCCACAGGCAAGCAGATCACATGTGTCCGCCTATATGCTAACTACAAAGCAAATATCATTGCATGAGCTGTTGACAAGTGTATCTGAAAGACATTTTTTTCGAGATTTGCGCGCGTTCACTTTAAGCTTTTATGTGAGGAGAAATGTAAATCAAAGCGTTGCAAGAAGTAACTGCTAAAAGCATCTTTAAGCACCAAAGCTGTCACCACAAGAAATATATGATACTTTCTAATAGCTATTTAATATGTATCTACAGCTTTAAAAAGTATATAACACACACTCAGCAGTGCATAGAAGTATCTACGAATGCATAAGGGTTATCTAAAAGTATCTGTAAACTCCTGAGTTGTCACTGAAAACTTCTTCAAGACAACAGTTGCCTTTCACTAGATATATGTTAATTATAAAAGTATCTGGCAGCTTTCTGGCCTTCGAATGAAGTATCTACAACTCTATTAAGTAATCGAAAAGTCTCTGTAAGCACGAGTTCCAGGCAAACCCAAAAGTATCTTTAAGCTCTTAAATTGCCAGAAAAAAAAAAAAACAAATCATAACGAATCAGAATTATTTAAAAAGTACATTTATCTTCTGGAGCCGACAGTAAATATCTGCATATTTAAAATATTATCTACGAGCTCTGAATGATGTCAACAAATGTATCTGCGTCTCCATAAATCAAGAATTAATATGGAAATGCAAAAGAATTATAGAGAATCCCACACAATTTCGCACACTTATTGTAGACTAATTAAAAGTCACGCACTTTACGAGGGAAATTAAAAAAAGCAAAAAACAAAAAAGAGCTGCCAAAAAATTAAAAGACAACGCGACGTATTAGTAACGTGAAAAGAGACAGCAACAACAACAATTACGCTTAGGATATTTTTAAAATGCGTCAAACAACTAAAAAAATAAAAATAAAATAAAAGCTTAAAATGTGTAGAAAATGTGCGACGATTTTCTAGGTTTTCTTTTGTCTTTTTTTAGGGGCTACGATTTGTACCTCAAGTTTTGTGTGCGTGTGTTTGTGTGTGTTGGTGTTGCCAAATGTGTGCCGCACATTATGTGGTCTAGTGTTCACGCTTCGTTAATGCAATATAACAAAAGCAAAATATAGAAGAAAAACTGCGTTTTTTGTGCTGCCAACTCCCCTCCGATCTACTGTGGCTGCCCCTGCTGCTGGTGCCAAGGAGCGACACTTTTTGCGCCACTTTCAGCTAAGTACTTTACACTATTTACGCACATGGCCATAAAACTTTGCGTGCGATAAGCACTATCTACCCCGACACCACCAGCTCTTTGATGGTATATAATGGGCTGTATTTCATGTTATTATTGTTGTTATTGTATTTTTGCATAGAATTTCCAGGCCTATCAATCAAGCGTGGCGCGTACACGAATTGTGTCAAAGTGCAGATGAGAATTCGGTTGCCCAACCGCGTCATGAAAATTAACAACAAATGGAATTTCATTCTACAAATATAATAATTCGAAAGTCCTAAAAATATTTCGTGCTTGATAATCGTGCAGCTTTTACGACAGCAGCCCAGAAAACAAAACGAAAAAAGGCACACGCTACTCTCTGAGGTATAATGAATGAGTTTTGTTTTACGACTGACTAAATGGAATTTGGTTTATTTAATGGCCGTATCAGCACTTAAAGTCCAATACAATTTTTAAA